GCCCCCGCCGGCCCCGCCGCCTTCTCCTCCTCCTCCTCCTCCTCCTCCTCCTCCGCCTCCGCCGCAGCCGCCCCCGGCTGCAGCTGCAACGCCGATCCGCAGGGTGCGGGGGTCGCCGCCGGGCCTTGGTCAACAGCAGCAGCAGCAGCAACAGCAACAGCGCCCTAGGGAGAGGGGCTCGGCTATCTGGGCGCACTCCTTGCCCTCCTTCGGGGATGGTCGTGTTTCCCCCCCCACCCCCCCAAGCCCTTCTTGCGCCAGCTGTAGTTTTTTCTTGGGGAGGGGGCCCAGCGTCGGTCCTCTGCTTTGCGCGGGCTCCCTCTCTCCCTCTTTTTCCCTTTCCAGGAGGTGAGGGTGGACTCTGCCCCAGGCTCCGGTGGTCTCAGTTCACCTGTTAAGTGACGGCTTCGAAGGAAACAACAAAGAAAAAGGCTTTTCTTTTCTTTCTTAAAAAATTATATAGATATATATGTATAATCTCAACGAACAACCCTTCTTCTTTTACTCGTCCACTTTTTTTTCTTTCTCCTTTAGGAGCTCATTTCACTTCTTTTCCTCTTAGAGTAAAACTTTTAAAATTTTTCTTTAAGGCGTGAGGATGATGCTGTTGGTTGCTGGTGGTTTAGGGGGAGGGGAGAGTGGCTTCTAGTCTCCCCCTCTTGTCCTCTCTCTCTCTCTCTCTCTCTCTCTCTTCTTTACAAGTTTTGTTGCTGTCCTACGAAAACTTCCTGCGATGATGCATTTCTCCAAAGTTGCTATTGCTGGAGCACTTTGTTGCCTCTGAAACAAGAGTCCTTTTTCATCTTCTTCGCAACAGTCACAGTCTGGTGAGACATCTTTCCTTTTGGGCAGAAATTAGGAAACAAATGTAACAAGAAAAAAATTGAAACGGAGAAAAAAAAGAGGTTGAATTGCTCTGTTACCTTGTTGATGATGGTTTGGTTTGGTGTTTTATTTTTTATCCCAGCAGTTGCCTGGAGAAGGAGGAGGAAGAGTGCATTGGTAGAGGTGTAGGTGTGTGTGTGCATATAGGGTATCCTTGATACACAATAACTCCAGTGGGGAAGTTGTTGCAAGGCTTGCTGAGTGCACTGGTGGTGGTGGTTGGTGGTGGTGGTGGTGGTGGTAGTGTTGCTGAAGAGTAGTTGTAGCAGCAGCTCTGCGCCCTCTCTCTTGTTCTCTTTTCTCTTCTCTCTCTCTCTCTCTCTCTCTCCTCTCTTTCACTCTCTCTTTCTCCCCCCTCACTCTCTTTCTCTCTCTCTTTCTGATCTGACAGTTCTCCCTCTGTCCCTCCCTCACAGAGCAGGGACTGCCGAATGTTTACCCTCCGCCGAGAGCGCGCACCCACCACCACACTTTCCCAAATACAAGGAAGTCGAGCGCAAGAGCCCCCGCTGATTGGCTACCCGCTGCGTGATTGACAACCCTAGAATGACTGGCTTAGGACGCGCGGCCCCCCTTCCGGCCGTTCCGATTGGTTGCTTTTTAATTTAGGCAAAATGTCGTAGAAGCTGGAAATCTGTCGTTCCCCCACCATTCTCCCTCCCTCTCCAGTCTTTCTCCTCCCTTCCCCCGAAGGCCCCCCCGCCCCCGGCCCCGTCCACAACATCTTAACTCTTAGTGTCCAGCAAATACATTTGAGTTCCCTGAACGTGAGAACCGAGAATTAGGATCCGGAGAAAGTGGAAAGGAGTGGAGGAGGGAATGAGGAATGAGAAAGGATGGGGGCTCGGAGGAAGGAGGCACAGAAAAATCGGTGGGGAAAAATAAATAATAAAAAAATAGTCACCCACCCTATCTAATAATCCATTCTGTCGGCACATAATTCCGGCGATTTGTAAAACGCGCTGCTTGGGATGCCTCACTGAAATAGATAATACCTATATAGAGAGGTGTCCTCGTCTGTTTCTAAGTTTTACCATGCATTCACCAAACCCCTCCCCCTTCCCTCTTTTCGGCTGGGGTGCTTGCATTTCCGAAAGCATTGGTCATGGCATGTGTCCTCCCTGATCAAAACACTGCAACTTTCCCAATCCCCTTCACGCTGTCTGCAACCCCCTTTGTTTTAGTTCTCCCCTGCTATCGTCGTGGGAAGTCTACTCAGTAGTAGTACTGTGCCCGCGTGTGTAAAGGAGAAACCTAAACCTCTCTCTTTCTCTCTCTCTCTCTCTCTCTCTCTCTCTCTCTC